GGGGTGGGGGGGATTCACGTTCTCATATGGGGCCAATGTGTGAATCTCGAAATGTAGTTTGAGTGGGGTTCGCGTGCAGGTAAGAGATCCATTGGGTGTATGCCAGCGTGATTATTGAGGGCTGCTTTTATTTAAATTAATAACTTCATTACAGAATAATTCTTTGCCAAGTTTGCTAAGCTAGGAAGTGGTCTGGCCAGAGTTTCCGAGAGCGAACAGGTCCACGATCACCTGTCAGCGCTGGACGAGTATGGTCATTTTGTGCTTATCAAATGGAGTTCAATTCCCAGGCTGCATAAGAAAAATGTGGGATGTGAAGGGGGTTAAACCACCAGTACTTCCAAAAAGTCATGCCCGTTAACGCGCCACGATTTTAGGAAACGTACGGGCCACTACAGGAGCGCTCAAATTCATCCGACTAGAAACGTTTCTACTCTATTTTTTGCCGCCGCCTATAGCTGGGTCAAGTACTGGTGGTTTAAGTGGGCTTTGGTATCAATTTTTTGGTTGCCGTCTGCCAAGGATGACTTCAAGAGCACAGGAATCGTCGAGTGGTATGTATTCGGGAGCTGCCACAGCTGCATGAAGGGTGTATCATGGAGAAGCTGCTTCGTTGTTGTTGTCATGTAGTGGTCTGTCAACAAAGATGGTGAGCAGGGGCCTGAATTTTCAGAAATTTGTCATGCAATTTATAAGAAAACCCAGGTCTTGTGTGAATGCACTTGCGCCAAAGTTGTATGCAACCAAGGTTTTATTTGAAATTTATTTTGCAAGTTTCGGAAATTTTTGATTTAGTACCCCATGAGGGGGAGGTTGTCGAGCCGATTGCCAGTGCAGACGTCTGGATCTGGATCAAGACAGCCAGGAGCCTGGCAGACATCTGGCCTTGCTACCTACGTTTCCTGTATTTGCAATGTTTGGATCTGGATCTGGATCCAGACAGCCAGGAGCCTGGCAGATGTCTCGATCTGGATCCAGACAGCCAGGAGCCTGTATAATGACCTCCCAAAACACAGACTGAGAACACTGCTGATTTCTGAGTTCTGCCGCTGG